TACACACTACTACACGAGGGTAGCCATTTTTTGCATTTCTGGTGCGTTTTGCTGTCGGCCTTTAAAAACCCATGGGGAGTGAATATGTACATGTTCCCTGTGACATTTTACCACTCGATTGCAAGTCTTTTGACCTTCTTTCGGACGTCGAGAAGCGTTATCTCTGCCTTCTTGATGAAATTGCCTGGATCGGTGGTCTCATTGACTTAATTCAGCTGTCTCCTGAAGCTGCTGGCATATTCCTTCTAGGACAAAGTATATTTGAAAAGCAAACGGTCTCTGAACTTTCGGATGCTGCTAGGTCGGCTGGCATTAATGATGCCGATATTTCCGCATTCGTCTCTTATTTCGCTTCAATTTATGGAAACCTGGGCAACTACCTGTCATTTGGTGACACAAAATTTATACCTGGTCTTTCGGAAAAAGCGTTCACAGCTATTGTAGCAGTCAGTGACGCGTACAACCTGTCACCGGAGTTGAAAAATGTTTTTGGTCAGGTAATCGCGGCAATTTATTCCTTGCATCCCCACCGTCTTCGCCTGGCCTTTGCTCCAGAGGGTCTGACAACATACTACTCTGGTAACTGTGTACGCGAAGACGCCGAGATAGTGCAGAAGTACTTGAATGCGAAAAAAATTGAGGGTTATAACACTCGTGTCTTAAAAAGTCAGGAACGAAATTGTGATGGGAAGTTCGAGTACCAAATTACATTTGCTTCGTCTGAGAGCAGAAAAGAAATTATCACGGATCCTTGTTTACCTAGTACCGCTGTATTTAAGTTACGGTATGGGGATTTTCAAGAGCTGATGGCTCTTCTTGTAGAGGCCATTGAAAAAGTGAAAGAAGCTGCATTGAATACAACGCAGAAGTCCATGTGGGAAGAGTATCAGGTTAGCTTTCGGACTGGTTCAATTGAGGCTCACAAGGAAGGATCAAAGTTGTGGGTGTCCGACAAGCAGCCTGCTGTCGAGAGTTATATCGGCTTCATCGAAAGCTATCGTGATCCGTATGGTGTAAGGGGGGAATTTGAAACTTTTGTGGCTGTCGTGGATAAGGCCATGTCGGCAAAGTTCCAGAATTTGGTCTCTGGTGCGTCTAAATTTCTTACACTCTTGCCGTGGCCCACAGCCTATGAAAAAGATAAGTTCCTGGAACCTGACTTCACCAGCCTTGACATTATCTCATTCGGTGTGTCTGGTCTTCCCGTTGGTATAAATATTCCGAATTACGATGATATTCGTCAGACATTTGGTTTCAAGAATGTGTCTCTTGGGAACGTCCTTAAGGCTCGTTTCCAGGTTGGTTTACTTTTAACAGCATTACACACCTTAGTGATATATGCACTTTGGTGAGCGTATATATCTTTTTAAGGATCCAACAGCTACATTTATTTGCGATGAAGACCGCGAGCTCTATGCAACCAACGTTGGGCAGTCGTTTGAAATCCAAGTTGGTCTTCATGAACTTCTCGGGCATGGATCTGGCAAACTGTTTCGGCGGAATGACGATGGCACTTTCAACTTCCCAAGTTCAGTTCGCGATTTAATAACTGGAGGAGACATAACTCACTGGTAGGTGTTGATTTATTTGATTAGCACTCAATTTATTGCAGCATTTGACTTGCCCACCAGAGGTTAACCTTGTACTGCGGTAGAGTCAAGTGTGGACTGTGGTGATTTGTCGTGGTCAAACTAACTGGCCTGGTTTTCGTGTCTCAGGTATGAGCCAGGAGAGACTTGGGACTCTAAGTTTAGCAACATTGCCTCTGCGTTTGAGGAATGTCGGGCGGAATGCGTTGGAGTGTACCTCTGTGACGTCGCTGAGGTTCTCAGCATTTTCGATGCAGAAGGAAAGTACAATCCTGGGGATGTGATGTACATCAACTGGTTATCAATGGTTCGTTCCGGCCTAATGGGCCTCGAGTTTTTCACTCCGCCCACCAATGAGGGAGATGGTGGAGCTTGGCGACAGGCGCACTGTCAGGCCAGATTTGCAATTTTGAAGGTAAACACATGGGTCTTTTACAGGTCTCCATTATTTTTCATTGAATGTGTGATATTTGGTTATTTATGTCACCTCCTTTACGTCAATTTGTATTAAAGGAGGTGACAAAACTGTTAGGTGCTTACCCGGTATGTATATATGCCTGTGCGATCTGATATCAATAAGTTGAGTAACGCTGAGTGGTGTTGTTAGTGTGAACAGCGATATGGAGCGACAGTAGTTTTAACCACGTGAACAGAGCTGAGAGAATAGACGTCACAAATAAAAGTGTTAATCTAGTTGTCTTGGGGAATGTCGACATTGTCAACACGAGCTTATGTATCACGACTGTTTATGGTTTTAGCAAGGAGCTGCTCTGCTAGTCCAGAAATGTGTCACTCTTTGGCGTCTTCATAGTTTTGGTTCCTAAATCAGTTCCAGTTGTTGGGAGCATCTGTACCACAAAATGTTTAGTGTTCAGACCTCCGCGTAGGTGTTGCTAGTGGCTTAGACAGCTTTCTAAACTTAAAATGGTAAAATTTGCATTACACAGTGGTGCTATCTTGTTACTCGAAATGACGTATCGCTTGTTGTTAAGGTTGATAACCGTAACTTCACGTTGCGGTAAGAATACGAGTCTTCACTAAATCATCGCTTTCAGGTCCTCCTCGAGTGCACCCCTTCTGTGCTGAAAATCGAATCAGTGAAGGGCCAGGATGGCAAACCCGACCTCCGCATTCACCTAGATCGTAGCCGACTCCACTCAGTCGGCAAACCAGCCATCGGAGACTTCCTGCAAAAGCTGCAGGTATGCGTTTCTCTTAAAAAACAGTGGGTGCCTAATTTTACCACCAGATGTGTTAGGCGGCCTGATTGATGTTGACTGATTTGTATTGTGACAGAATGGCAATCGGCATTTGTGTCGTCAACAAATCACGTCCATCAAAATTTCGCTTGATGACAACGTTTACTTGCACAAAATTGTCATTTTACGAAGAGTCAGCAGGGCGGCCTTTATTCGAGCTGCAAAATGTTGATTTCTGTTTTCACTAATGTGAAGCGAGTCACTGCCAAACTCACTAAGTAGTTAATTGGTGCACTAAAAAGCCGATGCAAAGTAACTACAATCTGATAACCTGTTTTTTTAAAAAAGTTGTTTATCTATCTTAATCTGAATTATTTGTTAAAGTCACTTAGCTCAATCAGGATGGTCACTGCTTGTTTGCGTTTGTGGTTTTTAGTACTACAAGAGTACTGGAAACTCCGAAGAGGGATGCGTCTTTTTCACGAACCACTCTACTCCAACGACTGAGCACTTGAAATGGCGTCAGACAGTTATTGATCGGAGAAAGCCACGACCCATTTATGTGCAGCCAGTTACATTTGAGAACCCTGAAAGTGGTCTAGTGACTCTGAAAAATTATCCGGGTACCGACGAAGGTATTATCCAATCTTTCATTGATCGATACTCCAACCGGCGACACTTTGGCCCGCGTGCACTGGCTGCCCTCAAAGCCGTCTGGGAACGTGACCAACAGTACTTTACGACGATCCCTCTCTAAGCCGCCCACATTGTGTCGTAAATGAATTATCCTGATTGGTTACAACAAAAATCTAATATATTTGTGATTTGGTATGCGTAGGAAATACAGGAAGTCACTTGATTGATTTGTTGTCTTCGTTTTCCTGCTGTGCATTGCCTTTCTCGACCCATCGAAGCTCACCGTTCGGTTTGCACGTGGGTCAAGTAGCTGCGTGGCGAAAGGCGTAAGCAGTACGTCAATCTCGAAGGTGTCAAATTACGGATGATTAGTGAAGGTCACCCAGTCATTATGCCGAAAAAAACTAGTCAGACCTTGTGAGGACTCTGGACAGCTGCTTTGACCGGTTTTTAGACGTATGGCACCGTTATTTGCAAAAAGGCAGTCAAGATTCGATGTATGGACGTAACCATAGTGGCACTTGGCATCGCACATGGTTGGTTCAAACCTCAGCATTGTGGCTACCAGTGGGTTGATAGTACCTACTTTATGCGAAACTCATGGCGGGCATCCTTAGCAATATAGGGAGCTGGCTTGCTTTTCTTGAAATTTAATAACGCTCTATTAAGGTTCATTTTAGAAACCAATAACCCTATTTCGTAGTTATCATCATGAGTTCGACTCTCCACTAGACCGACTCACAGTTGGCTATCTGAGGGCGTTTAAGTGGCATTTTGAAATCAAAGGTTAAATACAGTCTCCTCGGTTAATCCTACTTTATTATTCACTGTAAAGAGGTGAATGACGAGCAAACCCACAAGAAAGCTAAAGTCGTGCTAAGAAAAACACTATCACTGATAGTTAAAGCTACCAGTAAACACTGCGAGTCCTGGTAAACTGTTGGCGCGGGACAATCTATGACTAAGTCCAGAAATAGACGAACAATTGCGTTTGAAAGCGATGCACATGAAATGCTATCGACAAGACAAGGGGGAAGTAAAGACGCTTCACCACCCACTTCAGAAGTGAGCCAATTACGAATCCTGACATCCATCCTGTACGAATCCCAAGAACCCTGAGTAACAATAGTATAGTTAAGGTTAAAACTCATCGGCCAAGTGAAACACATGGTATGGACAACTGCGGAGGTCTTTCTACAAGATCACGCCAGGTTCAGCATCGGTGGAAGCCACATCGATTGGAATGGGTTCCATGGATTCCTTTTTAAGTTCACTGGCTAGCCAGGGGCGAAGGCGTTGTGAAAGGTAACCTCGCTCGGAGACAGAATGCCCCGCAGTGATTATTGTCGCCCCGCGAGCCACGATATCCAGTTGTTCGTGATGCGAAGCCTCTCCTGTAACTAGCAGATCTGCGACGTACGCCATGGGCTCCTGCGCGAACATAGAGCCACCGGACCCAGCGCATACCGCCACAGACGTTACTGGGCTGTCTACAGAGTGCAATAAAGATAGGACGAGGAAACCATACGCCTCAAGATGTAATATAAATTCTGCCTAAGAAGAGGAGATTAAAATGCAACTGCTGGATATCCGATGCGCTTCAACAGTGCATATTCCCAAAATTTGCGATTAATGTTTTGCATCGCGTGCGTCCCGATTTTTGTGAGTTTTAAACAGAATCACACAAGAAAGTTACTACTAGGCACTGGAGCAGGAACACAAACGTGCTGCACAAAACAAAGGTCACAATAGAAATGTATCTGATGGATAATGATCAAAAAAGTGCGCGAGAACGTGTTTTACCACACAGAGCAAAATGGCGGGCTTGATAGATATATGTGGTATGAAAGTAGCTTCATATGTTTCAGTAAATCAGGCACTGATCAAGGTCACAATTGTTCGATTCCAGAATTTAATTAAAATTAAGTGCGAAACTCATACGGCAAGTACACGTTGTCCTACACCCAACAAAAAAGTGCATACACTTAGGTGAGAATGCAGGGTTTCGTGACGGAGCAATGGAAGAATGGCACTAGCTTTGCCCAAGCGCCGTGTCCATTGCCTCAGGTGGGCAACAAGAGGCATTTAAGACGATCTGCTTTATTCTCATATATTTTTTTTAATTGCAGATTAATAATATGAGTTCTCAAGGATCTGTTTTGGCCTATCATAAGAGAGGCTCCGTCCACTGTCTTGTGCGGATAGTTTGGAGCTTAAGCACTGTTAAACTGGCAAACACACTTGGTAGAAGCTGCTATTTTAAAGGTCACGGAAAACTATTGGCATCGAGACACCACGAGGCACTTGAAACCAGATTAATTGGCTACGTTAGGAATTAAGCACACGATTTGGAGGCAATGACGAGTAACTTCTAAATGACCTGCAATACTTCAGCACACGAAATAGTCTAAACAATTCAAAAGACCTGCGTCCTTCATACCCATAGTGTCAGTTAACTGAATTGTAAAGTTTGGTGCGTTTCCTAAATAAAACTGAGGCAAAACTACGCCCACAGCGAAGAAAGATGACACGGTGTTACATTAAACATGTAGGGTGGCATCTTACAAAAATAATGTCGAAAGATATTTGCGTGACAGTGAAAGAGAAGCCTACCTGCTGTAGTACGTCTAATGAATTATGAGGAACATCAAAACGATGATAAGAGGCAAATCCTCTAAAATAGTGATGTATTCAATTCAAGGCCATTCGTAGAAGAATAAACGCTTGCGACATGAAAACCGCGGGAACCGGAGATTGTCCACCCACAACAAAAACTAAGCACGCTAATATCGCAGTTGGTCCGGAACATATTGATAATGCTATATGTGATAAAACTTAAATTCCGCAAGTATTTTACACCGGAGATGAGTGAAGTACGTTAACCAAATAATTGCAATTCTAATAATAGTAAACATACCCAACTGCTTTCCATAGCCAAGGGCTACTTTAAGAGTTGAAGTGTCGAATAACCGTTTGTAGGCTTCTATTGCATCTTGTATAGTATACCCGTCATTGAGTAAAGCTACCCGACCGGAGCCTTCTTCTGGTAACAAGTTCTGGAAGTTAAATAAGTCGTGCAAGGATAAGAGTAGCTGAAATTATGTTGGCTGACAAACTACACGTCAAAATTGGTAAAGTTTCTGGGTTGGTGAGGAACTTGCTCAAATACCAGTAAAGACACACGTTGACCCTACAGAAATTATCAGACCGTTAGCAAGGCGGTTTCGACTGGAGTCATATGCTTTAACGGGTTAAATGCAAAATAAGGCCGATTCCACAGTACTTATGTATAAAAAAGTAGTCGCATAACAGCCCTATACATTCAAGTAGGCTTTGCATACAAATAATTTGACTGTCAATGTTGCGCAATGTGGGCGGTTATTACATTATAATACTTACGATTGCATCAGCAGACAACGCACTACTGAAGCTTTCCGCTCCATCACCAGCTACTACTTCAGCAAGTCGGTCGTAAGAAGATCTAAAGGTAGGGAAATTATTATCATTATTATGCGTACGGAATGTCGACGTTTAAGGGGGGGATTTGGTTTTTAATGCAATAAGCCTGAAGCTCTCGACCAAATAATGTAGCAACTGTGGCTGGTTTTTCCTCAAACTGGCGACGCTTTATCGGAACCTTGATTTGTAAGTCTTAAAAATAAGAGTATAGAATGAAGTTTTACCAAAGGGGCTAAGGAGCCAATCGTTGATCCCACCAGAAACAGAATCCAACGCAGTGTGGGGAGAATAAACCGCAATCTTATTTTCGAGGCACTTTACAACAACCCGCTCTTTCCATGAATTCTGAACAAGTCGTTTCAGAGGTCGAAAGATTGGCGGGTGGTAAGAGATGACAAAGTTTGCACCTAATGATATAACCTCATCTAGCACAGGTTCAGTCAAATCGTTTGTGAGGCAAATTCGACTAATGGGGCTCGATGTGGACGGTTGTATAAGGAGACCAACGTTGTCCCACGGTTCGGCAAGCGGAATTTTTAACAAACGGTCAAGGATTTTCGCCAACTTAGCACACTCCATTCAGCTGTAGTGTAGTATAACGAGGTAAGATACGAAGGATTGGAGTGTAATGTAGCGGAATGGCAGACAGTCGCCATCTTGGCACTCAGTCATTGGTCGAAGGTAAACAGTACGACATGGTGACGACGTCATTTGACCGGGGGCGCGACTTCCATGTGCGTGACGTCACGCGGGGATTGAATGACGCGCCGGGGACTGAGAGCTAATCCAGACAGGAGTTTTCCATCTCCATTACAGCGCCGAGGAACGGACCAAATGGAGAAGAGGACGACCACGACAAGGCTACATAAAGACCCTGTTTCCCCCCATAGGTCTGATCATTTTGTTACAGATTCTAGTTTCCATTAATGGACTCCATATTGTCTTGTTTTCTTGTTCACACCATGGGAACGAAACGTCCATTTGCGATGTATAGGCGCACAGACATATTGGACCGCGCTGACCTCGGCCAATCCTCTGTCTCTTGGTTTGCGAGGAAGATGTACAGCCCACCAGAGACAGACAGGTATAAGAAGCGGTATGTCATGCTCGGCGCAGCCAGTGTCGTGGAATCGGGTGGACGTGTCCGACGTTCGGTTAATAAAGTCGTTCTGTTGTACCAGCCCGCACAGAAGTGTGGTGTGGTGTGGCGTCGGATTGGGGCGCAGACATGTTGGACCACCTGGCCTCAGCCAATCCCGTGTCTCTCTGCGATCCAATGGCATGCGGGAAAGGAAGGCAGTCAACCAGAGAAGGACACGACTGAGGAGCAGTATATAATGAGCGGCATGACCAGTGCGGTAGACTCGGATGGAAGGCGCCTGACGCGTGGCTCTGGCTTGTGATTGGTCAATAAAGCCTGTTCTGTTGTACCAGTCTTTTA